ACCACACCACACCACCACACCACCACCACCACCACACCACCACCACCACACACCACACACCACACACACCACCACACACCACACCACACCCCACACCACCACACACACCACACACCACACACACCACACACACACCACACCCACACACACACCACACCACCACCACACACCACACCACCACACACCACACCCACCACCACCACACACCACACACCCACCACCACACACACACACACCACACACCACCACACACACCACCACACACCACACCACACACCACACCACACACACCACACCACCCACACACACCACACCACCACCACACCACCACCACACACCCACCACCACACACACCACCACCACCACACACCACACCACCCACCACCACCACACACACACCACCACACACCACACCACCACACACCACCCCACCACACACCACCCACCACCACACACACACCCACCACACCCACCACAGACCACACACCACACACCACCACACCACACCACCACCACCACCACACACCACACCACCACCACCACACACCACCCACCACCACACACCACCCACCACACACACCACCACCACACACACCACACCCACCACCACCACACCCACCACACACCACACACCCACACCACCCCCACACACCACCACCACACACACCACCACCACCACCACCACACACACCACACACCACCACACCACCACCACCACACCACCACCACACACACACACACCACCACACACCACCACCCCACCACCCACCACCACCACCCACCACACACACCACCACCCACCACACACCACACCCACCACACACACACCACCCACCACACACCCACCACACACACCACACACCACCACCACCACACACACCACACACCACACACCCACCAACACACACCACACCCACCACCACCACCACCACACACCACACCCACCACACACACACCCACACACACCACACCACCACACACACCACACACACCACCACCCACCACACACACCACCACACACACACACCACACACCACACACCACACACCACACACCACCACCACACACCACCACCACACACCACACACACCACCACACCACACACCACCAACCACCACACACCACACCCACCACACACCACCACCACCACACCACACCCCACACCCACCACACACACCACACCACCACACACCACCACCACCACACACACCACCACACCACACCACCACACCACACCACCACACCCACCACCACCACACCCACCACACACCACACCCACCACACACACACACCACCACCACACCACACACACACACCACCACCACCACACACACCACACCCACCACACACACACACCACACACACACCACACCACCACACACCACACACACACCACACCCACACACCACCACCACACACACCACACCACCACACACCACCACACACCACACCACCACACACCACACCACCACCCACACACACACACCACCACCACCACACCACACACCACCACCACACACCACCACACCCCACCACACACACCACACCACACACCACCACACACACACCACCACACACACCACCACCACACACCACACCACCACCACACACCACACACCACACCACCACACACACACCACCACCACACACCACACACACCACACACACACACACCACCACACCACCACCACACACCACCACCCACCACACCACCACACCACACACACACCACCACACACACCACCACCACCCACCACCACCACCACACACACCACCACCACACACACACCACCACCACACACACCACCACCACACACCACACCACCACCACCACACCACCACACCACACACACACACCACCACCACCACACCACACACACCACACCACCACACACCACACACACCACCACACCACACACACCACACACCACCACACACCACCACACACCACACACCACACACCACCACCACACACCACCACACAACACCACACACCACCACACACCACACACCACACACACACACCACCACCACCCACCACCACCACACCCACCACACACCACACCCACCACACACCACACCACACACCACCACACCACCACACACCACACCACCACACACACACACCACCACCACCACACACCACACACCACACACCACCACACACCACACCACACACCACCACACACCCACCACACACCACACACACCACACACACCACCACCACCACCACCACACCACACCCACCACCACACCCACACACCACACCACACACCACCACACACCACCACCACCACCACCACCACCACACCACACCACCACCACACACCACCACACCACCACCACCACACACCACACACACCACCACCACACCACCACACCACCACCACACCACCACACCCCACCACCACCACACAACACCACCACCACACACCACACACACACCACCACCCACACACCCACACACCCACCACACACCACCACACACCACACCCACCACACACCACACCCACCACCACCACCACACACCACACACCACACACCACCACCACACACCACCACACCACACCACCACACACCACACACCACCACCACCACACCACACACCACCCACCCACCACACACCACACCCACCACACACCACCACCACCACACACCACCACCACCACACCACCACACACACCACCCACCACCCACACACCACACCACACCCCACACCACACCACACACACACCACACACCACACCACCACCACACACCACACCCACCACACACCACCACACACCACCACCACACCACACCCACCACACACCACACACCCACCACACACACCACAACCACCACACACACACACCCACCACCACACCCACACACACACCACCACCACACCACACACCACACCCACCACCACCACCACACCCACCACACACCACACCCACCACCACACACACACCACCACACACCACACCACACCACCACACACCACACCACCACACACCACACCCACCACACACCACACCCACCACACACCACACCCACCACACCACCACACCACCACCACACACCACCACCCACCACCCACCACCACCCACCACACCCACCACACACCACACACCACCACACACCCACCCACCACCACCACACACCCACACACACCACCACCACCACACCACCACATACACACACCACACCACCACACACCACCACCCACCACCACCACACACACCACACACCACACCACCACACACACACCACCACCACCACCACACCCACCACCACCACACCACCACACACCACACACACCACACCACACACACCACACCCACACCACACCCACCACAGACCACACCACCACAGACCACACCACCACAGACCACACCACCACAGACCACACCACCACAGACACACACCCCACACACACCACACACCACACACCCACCACACACCACTCCCACCACACACTACACCCACCACCACCACGCCCACCACAGACCACACCCACCACACACCACACCCACCACACACCACACCCACCACACACCACGCCCACCACACACCACACCCACCACACACCACGCCCACCACACACCACACCCACCACACACACCACCACACCCACCACACACCACACCCACCACACACCACACCCACCACACACCACACCCACCACACACCACGCCCACCACACACCACACCCACCACACCCACCACACACCACGCCCACCACAGACCACACCGCCCACCACACACCACACACACCACATCCACCACGCCAGACCACACCCACCACACACCACGCCAACCACAGACCACGCCCACCACAGACCACACCCACTACACACCACACCCACCACAGACCACACCCACCACACACCACACCCACCACAGACCACACCCACCTCAGACCACGCCCACCACAGACCACGCCCACCACAGACCACACCCACCACAGACCACGCCTACCACAGACCACGCCCACCACAGACCACACCCACCACACACCACGCCTACCACAGACCACGCCCACCACAGACCACACCCACCACACACCACACCCACCACAGACCACACCCACCACAGACCACGCCCACCACACACCACACCCACCACACACCACACCCACCACACACCACACCCACCACACACCACGCCCACCACAGACCACACCCACCACACACCACACCCACCACACCACCACACCCACCACACACCACACACACCACACCCACCACACATCACGCCCACCACACACCACACCCATCACACACCACACCCACCACACACCACGCCCACCACAGACAACGCCCACCACACACCACACCCACCACAGACCACGCCCACCACAGACCACGCCCACCACACACACCACACCCACCACACCCACCACACCCACCACAGACCACACCCACCACAGACCACGCCCACCACACACCACACCCACCACACACCACACCCACCACAGACCACGCCCACCACACACCACACCCACCACACACCACACCCACCACAGACCACACCCACCACACACCACACCCACCACACACCACACCCACCACAGACCATACCCACCACACACCACACCCACCACACACCACGCCCACCACACACCACACCCACCACACACCACACCCACCACACACCACGCCCACCACACCCACCACACACCACACCCACCACAGACCACACCCACCACACACTACACCCACCACACACCACACCCACCACACACCACGCCCACCACACCCACAGTTTGATGGTGTCTACAGCACCGTCATCATATTCAGGCAACAATGATATTTTATGCAACAATGACTGATAAAATGTCCGCAGAGCTTAATACATTAACAAGTTGGGACGGTGCTTCGTGCTGCACATTACTCTGAGGTACAGTTTTATTTGCAACTGTAATGAGTATAATTGATCTAGAGTCATTATCATACAGGTGTATGATGCACTTAGAAGGTGAAATTTGTTGTTCAGTTCCTTCATCTTGTCTCCATCTATCTCAGATCCCTCCCGACGGTCACCATCCCACACAGATCCCTCCCGACGGTCTCCATCCCACACAGATCCCTCCCGACGGTCTCCATCCCACACAGATCCATCCCGACGGTCTCCATCCCACACAGATCCCACCCGACGGTCTCCATCCCACACAGATCCCTCCCGACGGTCTCCATCCCACACAGATCCATCCCGACGGTCTCCATCCCACACAGATCCCACCCGACGGTCTCCATCCCACACAGATCCCTCCCGACGGTCTCCATCCCACACAGATCCCACCCGACGGTCTCCATCCCACACAGCTCCCACCCGACGGCCTCCATCCCACACAGATCCCTCCCGACGGTCTCCATCCCACACAGATCCCACCCGACGGTCTCCATCCCACACAGATCCCACCTGACGGTCTCCATCCCACACAGATCCCACCTGACGGTCTCCATCCCACACAGATCCCACCCGACGGTCACCATCCCACACAGATCCCACCCGACGGTCTCCATCCCACACAGCTCCCACCCGACGGCCTCCATCCCACACAGATCCCACCCGACGGTCTCCATCCCACACAGCTCCCTCCCGACGGTCTCCATCCTACACAGATCCCACCCGACGGTCTCCATCCCACACAGATCCATCCCGAAGGTCTCCATCCCACACAGCTCCCTCCCGACGGTCTCCATCCCACACAGATCCCACCCGACGGTCTCCATCCCACACAGATCCCACCCGACGGTCTCCATCCCACATAGATCCCACTCGACGGTCTCCATCCCACACAGATCCCACCCGACGGTCACCATCCCACACAGATCCCTCCCGACGGTCTCCATCCCACACAGATCCCACCCGACGGTCTCCATCCCACACAGCTCCCACCCGACGGTCTCCATCCCACACAGCTCCCTCCCGACGGTCTCCATCCCACACAGATCCCACCCGACGGTCTCCATCCCACACAGCTCCCACCCGACGGCCTCCATCCCACACAGCTCCCTCCCGACGGTCTCCATCCCACACAGATCCCACCCGACGGTCTCCATCCCACACAGATCCCTCCCGACGGTCTCCATCCCACACAGATCCCTCCCGACGTTCTCCATCCCACACAGATCCCACCCGACAGTCTCCATCCCACACAGATCCCTCCCGACGGTCTCCATCCCACATAGATCCCACCCGACGGTCTCCATCCCACACAGATCCCACCCGAAGGTCTCCATCCCACACAGCTCCCACCCGAAGGTCTCCATCCCACACAGATCCCACCCGACGGTCTCCATCCCACTTACAGCTCCTCCGGGACCCTGTTAGTCAGTCTCCGCGGGTTGGTCTCTTCTATAATCTGCTGAGTGAATGCTCTCAGGGTTGGCACACTCGGCTCCTCACGCCTGCCTCCACACTTCACGCACCATTAGTGCCTCAAGTTGGCACTCTTCCCCGGACACTCTGGGGGGTTTCAACTGTTGTTGTTGGCATCAAGCATTTCCCCGGCGAATGTTTGGAGGAGGGAAGGGAACTATCAGGGGGAAAAGCGTCAAGCTTTTTCGATATATTTTGGGAGTTATTTACGTATATTTTTCTTAAGTTGTTAGTTATCGACACCTCACCTGTGTCTCACCTGTGTCTCACCTGTGTCTCACCTGCCCCTCACCTGTGTCTCACCTGTGTCTCACCTGTGTCTCACCTGTGTCTCACCTGTGTCTCACCTGTGTCTCACTTGCATCTTACCTGTGTCTCACCTGCCCCTCACCTGTGTCTTACCTGTGTCTCACCTGCCCCTCACCTGTGTCTCACCTGTGTCTCACCTGTGTCTCACCTGTGTCTCACCTGTGTCTCACCTGTGTCTCACCTGCATCTTACCAGCACCTCACCTGTGTCTCATTTGCACCTCACTTGTGTCTCACTTGCACCTCACCTGTGTCTCACCTGCACCTCACTTGTGTCTCACCTGCACCTCACCTGTGTCTTACTAGCACCTCACCTGTGTCTCACCTGTGTCTCACCTGTGTCTCACCTGTGTCTTACCTGTGTCTCACCTGTGTCTCACCTGTGTCTCACCTGCCCCTCACCTGTGTCTTACCAGCACCTCACCTGTGTCTCACCTGCACCTCACCTGTGTCTCACCTGCACCTCACCTGTGTCTCACCTGCACCTCACCTGTGTCTTACCAGCACCTCACCTGTGTATCATTTGCACCTCACTTGTGTCTCACCTGCACCTCACCTGTGTCTCACCTGCACCTCACTTGTGTCTCACCTGCACCTCACTTGTGTCTCACTTGCACCTCACTTGTGTCTCACCTGCACCCCACCTGTGTCTCACCTGCACCTCACATGTGTCTCACCTGCACCTCACATGTGTCTCACCTGCACCTCACCTGTGTCTCACCTGCACCTCACATGTGTCTCACCTGCACCTCACCTGCACCTCACCTGTGTCTCACCTGTGTCTCACCTGCACCTCACCTGTGTCTCACCTGCACCTCACCTGTGTCTCACCTGCACCTCACCTGTGTCTCACATGCACCTCACCTGCACCTCACATGTGTCTCACCTGCACCTCACATGTGTCTCACCTGCACCTCACCTGTGTCTCAACTGCACCTCACCCGTGTCTCACTTGCACCTCACCTGTGTCTCACTTCTTAGTTATAATTAGTCTTGTCTGCATTTCCCAATATAGCGACAGAAAGTCTCCTCACTCCAGGTAGACACTGTAGACCCACCTGGTCTGTGGGTCACGGTCTGGGTCAGATGAAGTGCCGGAGACTGTCTCAGGACCACTCCGACACAGGTGTTAGCTGAGGCAGGTGTTAACTGAGACAGGTGTTAACTGAGACAGGTGTTAGCTGAGGCAGGTGTTAACTGAGACAGGTGTTAACTGAGACAGGTGTTAACTGACACAGGTGTTAACTGACACAGGTGTTAGCTGAGACAGGTGTTAACTGAGACAGGTGTTAACTGAGACAGGTGTTAACTGAGACAGGTGTTAACTGAGACAGATGTTAGCTGAGACAGGTGTTAACTGAGACAGGTGTTAACTGAGACATGTGTTAACTGACACAGGTGTTAACTGACACAGGTATTAACTGACACAGGTGTTAACTGAGACAGGTGTTAACTGACACAGGTGTTAAATGAGACAGGTGTTAACTGACACAGGTGTTAAATGAGACAGGTGTTAACTGACACAGGTGTTAACTGACACAGGTGTTAACCGACCCAGCAGGTGAGCGAGAACTGTGTACATAATGACATAACATATGCCAGGGGGTGTAGTAGTAGGAAACATTTACATCTGTCAAGGCAAAAACCTCATGATAAATGCAGCCAGCTTCTTGATAAGGTCACCAACAGTGCTGACGAACGAATAGCTACAGTCGCATAGACGAGAGATGCACAAAAAGTCAAAATGTTCCGTTGGAAAGAGTATATATGTGGACTATAGTAAGAAAGGGGAAGGAGAAAGACGAACACGTGATTCGAACAAAAAGACGAACACGTGAACTACAGTTGTTCGAAAGACGAACACGTGAACTACAAAGTGATTCGGGTAGAAAACCCGCCATGACAGGCGGGGAGGAATATTGGAGCATACTCTACCACTCAGGTGGTGAAGTATGCTCGCATATTTCACCAGGTTGTGGAATGTGCAGGAAGGGACCGGATGTCGTACCTCATAGAGAGAGGTTACCTTGAGGTGCTTCCGGGGCTTAGCGTCCCCGCGGCCCGGTCGTCGACCAGGCCTCCTGGTTGCTGGAGTGATCAACCAGGCTGTTGGACGCGGCTGCTCGCAGCCTGACGTATGAGGCTGCCAGGAGAGGGAGGTAAGCCATGTAAGAGAGGTAGAGCATGCCGTGAAGGGGGAATGCCAGATTCTCACGGGAAAGTGAAGCAGAAAGTTCAAAGTTTGAAGAAGAGTTGAGGAGTCAGAGAAAAGCTCAGGAAGAGAAGGTCCCAAGTGACGTAGAACACGAGAGAATAATTGGCAGCTTAAAGATAGAAAAGCCAGATAACATCATGGAAAGGGGATAGAAGATCCCCTTTCTGACTGCCATTTAGTTCAGATAGGATTAAAAAAGACCCGTGTCCACTGAGGAAACCACTGTAGCCAATCACTGTTGAGTATCAACAACCAAATATAACAGCCACACACAAAGCTACAGAATTGTGGCTAAAAGACTAACAGTCTTTCAGACTAAAAATCAGGCTAAAAGTCTGACATCTTAGATAAGTTAGAGAAGACGTGTCCTCAACTTTCAAGACCAAGATTCGGAGACCTAGTTCAGACTAGTGATGACACTGTCTCTGAGGTGACTGGTATGAGGACACACAGAAACCGGTGATGACTCGTGATTGACGGGGCCAGAGGAGACACGAGCCGTCTTCCTTGTGACAGAAGTGTACGGTCAAGTGAGGTGGCATTAGACGGGTCTCCGAGACCAGTCAGGTGTGACACCACAATACGTCAATATTGTCTGTATGACACGATGACCCCAAGCTGTCACGGGCGAGCGCTGCTGCTGCCAGCTTGTTGGATGGTCTTGACACGAGGGGGAAGGAGACCACGGTCTTGACACGAGGGGGAAGGAGACCACGGTCTTGACACGCGGGGGAAGGAGACCACTCTCCCGACAGCTGTATGACGGCTGTTGACACATTTTATGGACCTCCATTTTATGGTGGGGCCTCGTAGCCTGGTGGATAGCGCGCAGGACTCGTAATTCTGTGGCGCGGGTTCGATTCCCGCACGAGGCAGAAACAAATGGGCAAAGATTCTTTCACCCTATGCCCCTGTTACCTAGCAGTAAAATAGGTACCTGGGTGTTAATCAGCTGTCACGGGCTGCTTCCTGGGGGTGGAGACCTGGTCGAGGACCGGGCCGCGGGGACACTAAAGCCCCGAAATCATCTCAAGATAACCTCAAGATAACCTCCCTGCAGGAGCGCCAACACCGACTTGTACTGCTCTTTGACTCTTGTTTCAGGAAACAAGAGTCAAAGCCATAGAGTATTTCAGGAGCGTCAACACCAACTTGTAATGCTCTCACTTGTGTATCAGGAGAAGCGTTGTTACAAGTACCGTGGCGTTACCAACTCGTCATCCTACTTTCAGGAGTAATTCATACACAGTTACTTATGTCACACGGCCCAAGGTAACCGTTTTTAAAATTAGATGTAGATACTATGTATATATACTGTGTATTTGTATGCTATTTCATGGGATAATCCTGGTCTGGATTTTCAAATACAGCGACCGGAAGTGCCCTCAGTTCACTTAGAGATTCCTTTGACACTAGGACGGGCCAAGCTCTGGGGCCCCCGGATATTGATGAGTTATCTGATTGGTCAGTGTTTGTACTGGTCCATCAGGCGCAGTTGGACTGCGACTTGGGGTCACGTGACCCCCCCCAGGGAAAGCTACGAGAGGTCCTATTGGCCCAGGAAAGTCACTGTAGTTCAAGAGCTGGTTGGCTACCACCGTGCACGCCGCCGAGCGACAGTTGTATGGCGGCTGTTGACACATTTTATGGACTGTCAGTTCCTAAGGGAAAACTTTCTCCGAAACCATTATATGAGAAACTCAAAGAGCTCGCTAGATGGTTGTCATAGGTCTCTCTCTCTCTCTCTCTCTCCCTCCACTGGTGATGTCCTAGGCCTGGCCACCCATGTCTCACCCGACCACCAGTGTTATCTGTTTGCTACACCACGTGGCTTCTTTCTACGGTTGAGCTGAAGATTCTTCACCTGTACCTCACCTGTGCTTCACCTGCCGCCCCTCACCTGCCCCTCACCTGTGCCTCACCTGTGCCTCACCTGTGCCTCACCTGCCCCTCACCTGCCCCTCACCTGTGCCTCACCTGTGCCTCACCTGTACCTCACCTGCCCCTCACCTGTACCTCACCTGCCCCTCACCTGTGCCTCACCTGTGCCTCACCTGCCCCTCACCTGCCCCTCACCTGCCCCTCACCTGCCCCTCACCTGTACCTCACCTGTACCTCACCTGTACCTCACCTGCACCTGACCTTCAACATGCTGGCTGTTCCCCTTCACTAAGCTCTGAATATTTAATGACAACTAAATATAATGACTGCCTCGACTGGTCGTCCAGTCTCGACTGGTCGTCCTGCCTCGACTGGTCGTCCTCACACCACGGAGTGGGGTGAGGAGGGGGGGGGGGAATGTGGTATAACCTCTCTACCTGTTATATCTCTTTCAGAATATTATCCCTCTGTCCATTAGCCACGTCAGTGTCTACCTGTCATATCTCCATCTGCTTGT